CTGAGAGGCCGTGCCGGGCGCCGGGCCGCCTGCGCGTACGTCCTGCTGCGCAACAGCTTCTCGGGAAAGTGGGGCTCCTTCGCACAGCAGCGGCCGCTGGCACTGAGCAGCGTGCGGCGCCTGCAGCCACCCTGCAACGTGACCGTGCGGCACCAGGACGCGCTGGCCTATCTACGCGCTCTGCCCTGCCTGGCGCACCAGTGCATCTACGCTGACCCTCCTTACATTTTCCCCGGCCGCAGCATGAACTACTACGGTACGAGAGGGGGCCACGACCTGGTCTTTCACACGGAGCTGCGAGACGCACTCTTCGCGAGCGGCCTGCCCTTCATCGTCAGCGTCAACGACGTGCCCGAGGCCCGGGAGCTCTACAGCCGGGCCGACTCCATCACAAGCCTGTGCTCGGGGAAGAACAGTTCCAAGCCCGAGCTGCTGGTAGTGCACCGCGCAGGAATGGGAGCAATCCTGTGCCCAGCGCAGGATTCAGGGGGGGCAATCCTGTGCCCAACACAGGATTGAGTGAGCAATCCTGTGCCCACGCCAGGATTGACGGCTGGGCGTGTGAATGGCGAAAAAAACACTCCGGGAGCGATGCTGCGAGGACAGCATATCTCCCGGACCTTCGGCGCTGGCCCGGTGATGGGTTTTTCGGGCAGGTTCGCCGAAACTGTCGGGTTAGACGACAGTTTCAAAAAATAAATAAAATCCTGGGCTCAGGAGGCTTCGATGCCGGGCAGGCGCGGCGGGGGCTTCTACGCAGGGCGCGGCAGGGAGGCTACGCAGGGCGCGGCAACCCGCTGAACATCCACTCTCCCCCGGGTCCTTGCTATATGTGCTATATGTGCTATATGGCTCTTACAAGGCAAGCCACTGAACATCCACTCTCCCCCGGGTCCATGCTATATGTGCTATATGTGCTATATGGCCCTATATAGCATATATAGTACAGATTTCGCGCGTACAGAGTATATAGTACATATAGTACATATAGCAAGGAGCTGGGGGAGAGTGGGGGTTCAGCGGCTTGGCGTGTAAGACCCATATAGCACATATAGCACATATAGCATGGACGCGGGGGAGAGTGGGGGTTCAGCGGCTTGGCGTGTAAGACCCATATAGCACATATAGCACATATAGCAACGAGCCGGGGGAGAGTGGGGGTTCAGCGGCTTGGCGCGGCTTCAATGCCGGGCAGGCGCGGCCTTGCAGCCATTGGCAAAAAAAAGCGTGCTGCAGTCCTCCCCCCACGGGAGGACTGGAATTTTTTTTTCCTGGGAAGAATCCCTTGGCGCGGGCTCGGCAGGGTGGCGCACCCGGAGTGCCAAGAACATGTTCATCCGACATGTAATCCGACATGTTGAAATTAAGCGCGTATAGCGGCTTGGCGCGGCAGAAATGTGAACACGAGTGGCAATTGTGTTGGCACTTGTGTTGAAGAAATTAAGCGTATAGCAAGAAATCCTGGGGGAATTTCAATGCAGGGTTTCTGCAGGGAATCCCTGCATTCCCTGTATCCCTCTCTTTAGAAGACTTTTCAGCAGTTCTCAGGCGAACCTCTCTCTGTAGAGGGGGTTTTCCAAATGGCTTATATTCTACCTGAGAGGCTTCTAGCACTCGTCCGTCCAGCATTTGACCTCGTCCTGCGAAGGATTCGAAGTCTAAAACGCTGCGTGCAGGCGTGTGGCTGCAAAATAGAGACCCCTAGATATGCGCTGCAATTTGGCTCCAGGTTGCATTTCAAGCGATGTCAAGCTTTGCCAAAGGAAACCCCTTTTCCCTTTTTTTCGGGGACCCCTTTTTTTGGACCCCTTGTTTTGATTTTTTTTTTTTTTCCTTAGCCCTGCAAAGGTTGGCTCGCTTGAAATGCAACCTGGAGCCAAATTGCAAGCATATCTAGGGGTCTCTATTTTGCAGCCACACGCCTGCACGCAGCGTTTTAGACTTCGAATCCTTCGCAGGACGAGGTCAAATGCTGGACGGACGAGTGCTAGAAGCCTCTCAGGTAGAATATAAGCCATTTGGAAAACCCCCTCTACAGAGAGAGCCGCATGATTTCTGGCCTCACGCATCAGCTCTCACACTTCACCCTGCGGACACACCGTGGAGACCCGAGCACGTGGCTGCTGCGCAAACGCACTAAAGAGGGGGTAAGGTGATTTGACCGTTTGCTTAGAACTCTAAAGTGGGGGTATTCCGACAGGCTCCGCATGAGATGCAGGAAAATGGAGGCTGCATGTGTCCCTTACCAAAAGGCTTGAAGCAGAAATGGCACGCGGCCGAAGATTCAACCAAGATTGAAACACAGGGGAAAAGACAAACCCCTAGCGTTAGAATCTTGGTCACTGCTTCGCCTAAGGATACAGGAAAAAAGCAACCGACCGGAGCAAACTCAATACGCGCTTTTTGACTTGAGCGTTGCTTAGAAGTGCAGGCTTAGAGATGCAGGTGAGTGACGATGCGCAAGGCCTGATAGAGGGACGCATGCAGCCGCATGAATGGAAGCTGGTCAGCTCCCAACATTTCGTCGGCTTACTGCACCTCGACACTCCCGCAGGACCATTTCGACAGCAATACGCAGTCGAGGCCCACGCAGTGCACGCAAGCACACATTGACGAATGCCATCGGCATTCTGCCGGCCCGGACTGGTCCCCTGCTGCAGGAGGACGTATCCTCCCATGCACACTTATGCACGCATTGCATACATGTGCAGATACCTCTTTTCCGTCTCACACCCCACGGGTAAAACACCCCGTGTGATGGTCGAACACGCAATGTTGACCTCAGGAGGTATTCCGACAGGCTCCGCATGAGATGCAGGAAAATGGAGTAGACGCGCATCGTCACTCCACCTGCATCTCTGAGCCTGCACTTCTAAGCAACGCTCAAGTCAAAAAGCGCGTATCGAGTTTGCTTGGTTGCTTTTTTCCTGCATGTCCCTTTGGGCTTGAAGCAGTAACCAAGATTCTAACTGACAAGGTCCTTGTGGTTGTTTTAGTTTCCAGCAGAAACTCTTTGTTTTAGTCTTCAGAGCTTCAACTGCATGGACTGTCGGCTTCATTGGGCTCTGAAAGGCGGATGGCGGCTTTCACAAGGGCGGCGTCATCCAACGCACCTTCGTCCGCTGGCTCCGCCTGCGTTGCCACAGCCTTTTGCGGCTTTCTTGGTTGGCTTGTTCCAGATGGGCTTGAGCACCTCACGCTGAGAAGGGCATTCACGTCAAAGTTGACCACGCCGATACCCGCAGATGGTGACACATGTTGAAAAGCCTTGCTTGAGTTCGACCATGCCGATCTTTGCTGAGGGTTGTGCGCGAACCGCAACACTTGCAAAAAAGACCGCAGTCTTTTTTCAGCGCTGCGGCTGGTGTCTTCGAGCTTTTCTCGCGAGGCGTCGGGATGGCGCGCAGCTGCTCCTTGAGGAGCTCGATGCGGCGGCGCTGGTGCGAGCGCTCGGCCTTAGCAGCGCATCCTCGCGAGGCCGCTTGTTGGGAGGCCGCTGGGCCGTCAGAGCAGCCGCAAGGCAGGGAGCGTCCGCCCGCGCGGCGGGCTTCTCCAGAAGCCATGCCTGCACGCACCGGAAGGCCTTGGAGAAAGTCATGATAGCTTAGAGCAGCTGCGGCGGGCTTTTTTCTTGTGCGAGTCCAAGCTCATCAGTGCGTTCGCCTGCGAAGATTTCGCAGAGGAAGTCATCTCTTTGAGCAGAGTTCGACATCGAGAAAGCGAAACGAGCTCGGGATCTTTTTTTTTGCTCGCGCTCATCTGTGCGCTTGCGCGAGGATTTCACCGAGCTGCGCCACCCGCAGGCGGAGAATTCTGTTGCTGCCAGCTCTTCAACGCGCGAGAACAGAAATCTCCGCCGGCGGATAGGCGGCCTCAACGATATCATCGACAGAGATCGCAAGCGAGCCAGAAAGCGCACGACCACGCTGATCCACGCTTCGATCGTCAAGTTGGTGCAGGCCCACCGCCTTTGAGGAGTAGTTGAAACTTGTCGAGCTTCGCGCACGAACTTCTCAGACATTTCCATTTTTTTCTTCCAGTAAGACACTGAACACTGTTCGCGCCAATATCTTGTGTGACTTGCTGTTGTAGCTTGCTAAAGCAGCCTTTTGTGTAACTTGCCAATGGATTCTCCTGGTGCAACTTCCTAGTGCAACTTGCCAATGCAACTCGCAACTGCAACTTTCTAGTGTTAGTGGCTGGTGCATATTGATGGTGGTATCTTGTTAGTGCTAGTGGCTGGTGCATCTTGCTAGTGCTATCCCCATCTTGTTAGTGCTAGTGGCTAGTGCGTTTTGCTAGTGCTATCTTGCTAGTGCCACTGGATAGAGCATTTTGCTGGTGCCATCTTGCTAATGCTACTGCTAGTGCAACTCGCTGGTGCTACTTGGCTCTTCGATGAGAAGAAAACAAAGATGTACGCACGCTTGACAACTTGCATGTTTTGTGGCATTTTCCTTTTTAGAAGACAGTGCAGCAGAGGATGCTTGCAGATGCAAACCTCAGATTGACAGTGGAGAGCATGAGCGAATGATGCGCCGACACCGAGCACAAAACATCAACCGCGTAGGTAGCTCATGAAACCTGCAAGCATGAACATTGACATACCTGGCTTGGTGAGTTCCGAGACTTCCGGTTTTTGGGGCATAGGCCTACGGCTACCAATAAAAATTGAGATCTTCAAAAACGAATCTTGCTTGAAACAATGTTGTGTGACAATGGGGGCCAAAATCATGTGTGCATTCACCGGTCACCGCACGTTGATTGCTTGCAGTGTGGATGCTCACTCCAGAGCTTTGTGTCGTGTAGAGCCTGGTGTTTTGAGCTTGTATTGTAGAAGAAACCATATGCAAATGGCATTTGCTGCTTGCAACATGGCCTTTCACATGTTTGGTTTGATACATAGATATATATATATATATATATATATGCGCAAAATCAGCACAACAATCTCAACTTATTGGATTTGATATCACAATTCCGTCAAGCAAACAAACACAATCATTTTCCAGCCCTTTCACGAAACGGTCCAAAGATGGCGGTGGAGGTTTTGGCGCGACAAGCCTCGCCGGTGGATGGCCTGCTTGCGGCCCTGCGAAGCCGGCTGCCAAGTATATCACCAATGTCTCCAGCGAAATTCCCCATGTCCAATTCAGATTTACCAAGTCTCATTTTACCTGTCACAGGGGCCGTTTGGGATGCAAGCCTTGGTTTTTTCCCGGTGTGGCGGCGTTGGGTTTCTCGTTGAGGCCCTCGAAGCGCCGTGCGGATCTGGGCCTTGATCCAAATCGCAGCTCGCATTGAACAAAGTTAAGTGCTTCAAAATGTGCAGGGCTCCTTAAAAGATACATTTTGCCCATTTGAAACATGGATTTTTCCATCAAAATAAAGGGAAACCACCATTTACAAGGGTGGACAATGTAAGGATCCCTGATGTGGGTGCGTCTTTTCGGAGTTGGCCCGTTGGCGCTCCTTTTTGATCGGTCTTAAAAGGAAACCAAAAGGAAGACACGCATTGTCGTGTGGGTCCCTTCATTTTGACACGCACCCATATGCCCCACCAAGAAATCTGGGAGAGGCTCGCTTGAAGAAATCAGGATTGTTGCCAGCATCCTGCTGAATTCGTCACAATGTGAGCTGCGCTATGATTTATGCCTGAACCATTCCAAGCACTTCTTGAATTGTTAACATCGTGGCTGTGTGGCTGGCGGCGCAAGAAAAGGCATGATAGCTGAACTGGTGCCAGGCAAAACTGGGCCCCATCAAAGCCGAGCAGTTTCAGCTCGACAAGCAGGCAACTGCGGTTTCAGCAGGGTGGGTCGGGTAACGTTGTACTCTTGTGAACCGGATGAGGTTGGCCAAGGCCACACAAACAGGTGGCGTATGCATGTCAGCTTCCTTGCAAGCGGCCGACGTCTCATTAGATTGCAGCACAAATTTGAGTCTTGGGACTGTGTAAAAAGGCATTTTCAGCTGAGATCTGATTCATGACAGGTGTCAGATTTGCTTCGAGATGAAGACTCTGCTGTTCAAGAGCAAGCTTTGTTGACCTTGGGGCAGCAAGGCGTGATACTTGTAACGGTGCTGAATATTGCGACTGGAGTCACCCATTTATCCAAGATCAATGCACTTGCCATAGATGACTTTTTTCAATTATCCAGCCTCATGTGTGCCAAATTTGCTGCACGATATTCTGTGTGGAGGGAAAGTGCACTCTGCATGGCTCGTGTTAGGTGGCCGGGGTGCTCGACACGTTGATGCAATTGCTCGGCGCATTTCCATGTCCATGGAACGCAGGGTGGAATGCTTAGTTTTCTGCTGCTCACAGAGCAGAAAAAGAGCTGGGTAGCTTGTTGTCAGGTGAGGGTAGCAGCACTTCATGCTCTTGGGAATCTTGGACCAAGTGCCGGGTCAGTTCAATCAGATGTGCTGGCGGCATTGGACGACAAGGACCTGCACAGATGTGTACTATTTGATTGATGCGAGCCAGATGTGTGCGCAAGTGAAGATGGGCTTGGGGCATGGGAGCAAAAACAAACAGCTGGATAGGCCTAGAATTGGTTGACGTAAGTAAAACTTGACTCACAGCGTGAATTGAAGGATCCGGCGGTGGCTGCAGCGGCGTGCGTAGCTTTGGGAAGAATGAAGGCAAGGTTGGAGTGGAAGGGGATCAGTGCAGCAGACCGAAAGGATCCCCAACTTGCACGCAAACGATCCTGAGTTTAGAGGTGGCGGGGTTGAGGGGACGTCTGAAACCTGGACAATTGCGCTCAGCGAACGATGATGCTGGTGATGCTGGGGATGCCAGGCGTGCACTTTGTTTGATGATGCCGGTCATGCTTGCAGTGGAACTTTCCACAGTTGGGTTTACTAGAATGGTGACAGGCTGGGTTTGGTTTGGATTGGCAGGACATTTGCAATGTTGATTTTTGTTTGGTTGGAAGCTACCAAGACCCCTTGCAATCATGACTCTACACTTGCCGGCACAGCACCGGATTGCCGATGTCTAGTGATTTCCAGATTGGTTTGCTCCCCTGGCGATGTGTGCGCTAGCAAATCATTTGCCGAATCTGATACCACCTGTGTAAGAGGGCCAAACATAGGGTAGGCTCCTTTCTGACCGGTTGATGTCCGCTTCTGAAGCTGAAGGGTCCATTGGCCGGATGCTTTCCAGGTCACTTCTCTGGATGGGAAGCTGGCGGGCATGGAGAGCGCCTGGACATTGGGCTTCAGATCAGACGGTTGGGATGCTTTTTGGGGTCGGGGTGGCTGAAAGTCAGAGATGCTGAGATGCTGGCACTTTTTTTTTTTTTTTTTTTTTTTTTTAAATTGATGCTCTTGGAAGGTGTCTCGAATTATATTGACTAAGTTTCCTTTGTAGACGGCTGGTGAAACCAGTCGGCACTTCCTGAGGCCGTGAGCCCCAGGTGGTGGCAGCTGCCTGCGCCGGTCTGTCGGCCATGGACCGTAGGGTGGATGCCGTGGGCAAGCAGCTTTCACACCGCGACCCTAGTGTCAAGGCAACGTGTTCACAGCTGGTGGTGTTGCCTTCCTCAAATGGTCGGCAGGCTGCGGCGGCCAAAGCATTGTCTGGCATGACGAAAGCAGAGGACTTCTCGCCGGAGCTGGTGCGGTGGCTCGTCAGCAGCAGCTTTGGGTGCTTCTCAGCATGCAGGGCTTCGACTCTGGCTGTTTTGCTATCTCTATGCCTCTCTGCCCTCCATTCCAAAACGGCTGACTTTGGCTCTGGTTGGTCGCTGTAGGCTCCTGAGCGAAGACGCCGTGCTGCGGCACAGCGCCGCCCAGACGCTGCGTGATCTCGCGCCAACTCTTGCGCCAGCGCAGAAGGCGGAGCTCGGGTCGCTGCTGAAAGGCGCGGGCGTGCCATGGACACCTGGAGTCAGTGACTCAGAAACAAGGCTCAAGCTTGCTCCGAAAAGACAGAAGACCGAACGATTACTTTGCGCACGGCATGAACCAACCGGGGCTTCAGGTCACGAAACATGATCCAGCTCGAGATTGAGGGATCTTGTGGCTGGTTTTTCGCTCTGTTTCACTGGGATCCCATTCGAGGGAAGTACGGGAGAAGTTTTCAAGTGCGCAGATTACTCGTCTTTGGAGCCGACATGAAAAACCGCCCGGATTTCTTCTCGTCCGGGGCTCCAGGTCCTCCGTTGGTCGCGGGTGCGGCCGCTTTCGTCCTGGCCGAAGTGGGAGCAGCTCCAGAGACTTGAGCGATTCGAAGGGGCGTGTTGGGTCGACTCTTGATGAACCCCAAGGGTTTTTTGTCCCTCTTTCCCTCAGCTTCGAGTGGGATAGGCCGAAATGTGGTAGGGTATCCGGAAACTGTGTAACACCTACAATATATTTTTCTCTGTTCACCGAGGGCTGAACAGCTTGGTTCAAAGGTTGGTCAAGGGTTGTTTTAGGGTGGGCTTAGGGTTGGAGTCGGGCCGGTTTAGGGTTGGTTTAGGATTCTATATTGTTTTCCCCCTTTTGCTAGATTCCAAAGCTTAGACACAGATGAGTTTCCAGGATGGCTCGAATGATTCGGGCGGCTGAGGACCAGATTGCTGCGTTGGAGAACCTCCTGTCCCACAAAGTTGAGGACAGGCTTCGTAACTGTCCTCGCTGACCCCACCGACCCGACTGTCCCGACCCCTTGCTGCGCGGTTAGGACACCTCGGCCTGCGCCGTCACCGCCTCCGGCGCAGCCCCGCCGCTGCCCGCGGCTTTGCGGAAGCCCGCCGTGGCCGCCTGCGCAGCGCTGGGCGCGGCAGAGGGGGGGGACAAGGTGGCGCCGCGCCTGACTGCGCTGCTGGAGAGCCCGGATGCGGAGGCAAGAAGATCTTGGTTCAGGCTATGAGTAATGGGTGGAATCCTGTTCAAGTGGTGGATCTAGATCCAGTGCGACTGATGCCCATCAGAGGGTCCCCGCTTAGTGACTGAGTGGACTTAGAAGTGGATTTGTAAATTCAAGTACAAAAACGCAGCTTGGATGAAACAACACCTACAGGTACGGGCAGCTGCAGCAGAGGCGCTGGGCAAATTGCGGCAGCAAACTGCTGTGCCTATGCTACTTCAGGGCCTGGAGGCCCGAAATAAAACAGCCCCGTCTGTCCGAATGCAGAAATAGGACCCTTGGAAAAGGCCGCCGAAAGGAAACTGCCGATTGGGATGGGCCAAAAGCTTGCTCACGTTTTCCAACAACTGACTGGTCCCTCCTGAATGACTTGCGCACTCCAGGATGCGTCACCGGCAGTGGTGCTCGCCTCTTGTCGTGCCTTGGGGTCATTCCCAAGCACCGAGACGGGTGCTGCTGTGGCGAGGCTTCTGGAGGCCGGCTCTTTGGATTCCCGGGCAACTTGCGCGCGAATCGCCTGCCCAAGCGCTTCGTAGGACCCGCAGCCCACTGTGCGCGCCTCTGCCGCCCACGCCCTTGCGGACATGGGGGCGGAGGCTGGGAGCGTCTCGGCTGAAGCATTGGCTCCCATCATTGAATGCCCAGGCCCACGTTGAGAAGATTGCGGTGCTGCTCGATGACCGAGCCCCGCCGGTCCAGGCGCCCTCGAAGGGCAGAGGTGCATGCGAGGTCGAAATGCAATTCGGAAATCAGCTATTGATTCACGCTTCCTTCCTTGGTTTTCTGTCCAAATAAAATGGCTTTTGAGTTGCAGGTCGCGGCGATGCGCGCGCTTGCGACCTGCGAGCGTGGGCAGCTTCATGCTGCAGCTGTGTGTCGATTGGCGCTAAAAGCAGATGAAAGGAGTACACAAACAGACGCATGTGAATATTGAACACGGGGGCTGTTTTGTCGCAAGCCTGTTTGCCTCTCCTACCACACCTTGATGGCGCGGTCAAGCACGGCAGGACCTGTGTGACAGCATTGCAAACGCTGATGCAACTGGGCGAGCGTGGCGCTGCCTATGCAGAAGAACTGCATGCTTTGCTGGATGCCGCCACTCCTGCCTCATGGCCACAATGTCCAGAGCTGCATCATGTGCTGTTGCAAGGGTGGAGGTGCAGAGCAGCAAAATCTTTGTGTATCGAGGGACTCAACCCGCGGCAGTTTTCAGATGTCGAATCCTGCGCACTGAGGAGATTGCCACCCAAGCACACAGGGCACTCGACTGCTTCAGAGGAGGCCGCGATGCTGTGCCGTCGCTCGCAGATCTTCCCAAGGCGGGCTGATGTGCAGTCGGAATTTTGCGATTTTTGCCTAACCATTTTTTGAGGGTGGTTGCAGTAAAGAATCACAATCAAATCCTGGTGAGCGAACGGCCGAACTGGGCAGAGGAACCCCTCGGCTTTGGAGGGACACCGAGCGAGCTGTAACTTCGGCTCGCGGGCCGAAACACGGGGGAGGTTTCGTGACGACTGACCGATCTTGTCGGTACTTTGCCTCGTTGCTTGTGGACTCCTCGAAATATCGAGACAGCCTTTCCGCCCTCCGCATCCCTTTGCCTTGGGCCCTTGCCGATCGGGAGGTGCAGCTGACCATTGCCGCGGGAACCCCCGGCTCCGGCCTCGGTGTGAGCAGCGGGGCGGCTTGAGCCAGCAGCCAAGCAGCCAAGGCCTGGAAGGATGAGGCTCGCAGCTCGACTGCGTGTGACACATGGATGAAACACATAGAAACAATGACATCGAATCAAATGGCAACTCTTTTCTTGATAGCCAGCTCATGGCTACTGCGTGGAATGCATGCAGCATGGTGATGGTGGCGACTCCTTCAGTGGCCGCATCAACTTCGGCAACTCCAGTTTTAGACGAGCCTTTGCACCGAGGACACTTTTTGCACTGGCGGACTCCATATATACAGAGGTCTTTGGCAGCTATGCGAAGAAGGAGGCACTGTGTTTTGCTGGCAGCTGAATGGTTTTGCTGGAAGGCCTGCTTTTCTTTCCTGTGTGCAGGAGGGATTTCTGTTCCTCGCTTGCATGCTCCCCGTCAGTCCCTCGTGTTGCTGGGTTCCCGCTTTCCTGCCCGCCCCTAACGAAAAGCAGTTGTGCTCAGTGAGTTTCATGCGAGCATTGACTCTTTGACGCAGGTGCATGGAACACTGCTTCGAACTTGGCCATGTTGCGATCGCAACATTCTTCCGAGCTGAAATGGACGATGCTCACATGCCACTCACCACTTTCTTGCATGGCGTCGGCAGCCTTGCACCTACCGCAACGAGGCATCGGAGCCGTTTTCAGCTATGGTCCAAATACACACCTGGCCCCAGCATGGAGGGATGGGTAGATGCATTATTTTGGCACTTGGCAAGAATGGGCCGCAATTGTTGCACCATTGACAGCACCAACCCAACAGTTTGTCTTGTTTCGTACTGAGCGGATTACCAGTTGACGCAAGTCATCATGGACAAGCGCAAGCACACAACTTTCGCAGCTTATTTCATCATCCGCATGGATGATGCGAACCTGCATGCTGCCAAGCTTTTGCATCAAAGAGTGCCAGCTTGCCGCTGGTGCATTACGCTGAAGGAGCACCAGGGCCAAGGGGCTGTCTTCGGAAAGAGTTGTGCATTGCTTCATGGCAAGCATTTGAGCTTGGTTGGCTGCAAGAAAGTAGGAGCCAGTGTCAACTGTGCAGGAATTCAACGAATTTGTGCGAGATGTGCGAGTCGAGTGGAAAGCAGGCCTTGCGCAGCATTGCGGGAATGGCCTGAGCAGCAAGCCTTGCAGGTCGAGTTCCGGACAGTGCTTCGCATCCAAATCCGAGCCATGATGACCCGGACTGTGGCCCGAACATGTACCAGGTGAACCAGCACTTCGTCAAACCATGCACGCTTCGTGCGGGAGGCCGGAGCTTAGAGTTGGGGCAACCAGTGCTGCTGCATTGTTGATACCGGACGAATGATGATTCTCCCACTGGGCCAGGGAATAGCAAGTATAGAGCTTGGCAGGCAAAAACCTCTACCTTGCTCCGTTTCCTAAACTAGTGTGTGCACGGCCATGCAAGCCGTGTGTTTTCCTGGCCAGCTTTCTAATCAGTTCCATTTTTGAAGGTATGAGCTATGCCCTGATGAAGCATCCTGATGGTCTGGAATGCGAAGTGTTCATCTCCCACGCCTGGGCAGAGGGTGTCTTTGAGCTTTCTTCCTCAGTGGCTGGCGCCTGGGTTCCTGGCATGCACAATCTGTATTGCTGCTCCCTGGCTTTCTGATCCGTGGCCGCTCCCGCCCAGATTCCTCTTTGATCATCCTTGGGCCATTTTGTTTGCGCGGCCCTTGGGACTCACAAAACGAGTAGAGCACCTGCCAGTTCATTTTCTCCTTTGGATTGGACCTGGTTGACGCCGAGGCTTGTTGGCCAACCCGCAGAACCTGGACATCGGGGAGCTGCTGGGCTGCCGGCCCTCCCTGAGCCCCTTCGCCGCAGCCCTGGGCAGCGCCTCCCACATCATCGTGGCGCCCAACCGCGCGGTGTCCGTGTACTCCCGGCTGTGGTGCGTCTACGAGGCTGAGAACCCGGGCCAAACGAGAAACGAACAGCAACCCAGCCAGAAAGATGCAAAGAGGCGCACAGAGGCGGAGAGAGGGAGCAGAGAGAGAAAGACTGAGAAGAGTGAGAGAGACACCGCAGGCCTACTTGGCTGCAAACCAGGAGAAAGTCTTCCTGATACCTTCCAGGCAGAAAGCTTCTAGGTGCTTCCGCTACCACTTCTGGTGGATCTTCCTGCCTGTGCTTTGCGGCTTTGCGATTGCATGCTGCCTTTGGAAGATGCCCCTGGCAAAACAGCAGAGCTTCAAGAGACATCTATTGACGGTGCTAACCGTGCTTACTATACTCAACCTCATGAATTTGCTCCTTGCGGGATTGTGGCCAAGGCATTGCCCAAAACCTGCTGCGCTCTGGGTTTTGGATTCTTTTATGCTTTTCACCTATACGTTGGTAGCCTCAGGGTATTTCCTGATTTTGCCACCTTACCTGACGGATGATCTTGTCGGCGAATATTGGTCAAGACGTGCGCTGATTGTTTTCTTCCGCGTCTTCCTCATTGCTGCCCTTGCCTTTCTCAGTATGGGCATTGTCGGCCACAACATCACAAACAGCCTGGATCGGGCAGCGCTGCGAGCTCTTGAACAGGGGCTAAACTTTGACTCCGTGCGGTTCGCAACCTGCTCAAACCCGAAGGATGCAGCGGCGATTTGGGGTGAGATTTCTGACTCGGTGTCTGACGTGGATGCTGCCATCCATATTTTGGTGCGGGCTGGCGCTTACACCCGAGGATTGCGTCAGCAGTTTGATGCCGGCGTGGACATTCAGGGCGCGGGCTTCACGGACTTTTGCATTCGCACGGTCCACGCGTCTGCGCTGTGGCTCGTGGCAACTGTCGCCATGGCGGAGCGTGGCTATTTCTGGGCAGAGCACGTGGACATCCCCAAGTGGCTTTGGGTGGTGCCGGTGGTCGCAGCTCGGAGCAATGCAGAAAGGGCGCGGGCGTTTGATTTTCCTTGGTTTCGGTGCATGTCCGAGGTCTGTGGTGCTGCTTCCTGTGCAATTCCTCCCACTCTTTTTCGGATTGTGCGCAGAGCCCCGGAGCATGGCGTCTTCGCATGCCAGGTGATGAGCACTTGTGGGATTTTGACCATCCTGGCGCCTACTTTTTGGGTGGTGGAGTGGAGTAAACCTGCAACCCTTCAGCACTTGGTGGGCGCCACTCCTCTTGCGACACAATGGAAGCCGCCAACGCCCCTCGCACTATTTTTGGCTGTTTATCCACTCATCATGGCCACGTGCTGCTTGTTGCTTGTGTGGTTGGGACCAACTCTGTTGTGGTCGGGATTGGTCCAGACTCGCAAGAGCACATGCGATGCGTGCATCTCTTTCAGCCGGGGCAAGTCAAAGTCTGCAGAGTCCGACTTTGACTCTGATGAAGAGAGTGACAGCAGTTTTTCCTCGCACAAATCTAGCGAAATGTCTCCACATGCATCTTGCTTGCTGTCAGACTGGGTGTAGGCAAGGGGGCGGTTAAAGCATTGTGGCAACTGGCCACTGTTTGGCTGCTCCCATGTTCAGTCCGCGCACGGTGTCAGACAAAGAGAGCTGCGCTCCAGAAGGGCGATCAAAGTTTGCAGAAATGGTGGCAGCACACTGTTGCGACTCTGCAAGTTTTTTTCTCATGTCGTCTTCCCAGGAGATCCACGCGAGATAAGCGAAATTCAGCGAACATGAAGCTAAACGTATGCGAGCTTATCAAATCATCAAGCTGCAGTACCTTGGAGCCACCTTTCGCGCCCATGGTGCTGAATCCAATTAGGCCCAGATACGACTGGCCGAGTCACGGCACGCTTGAGAGCATGGGCAGATTGAATTAGCGGGGTTTGCATTGGGGTTTGCATTGATATGACAGGTTGAACTAGCTTACGAGACGCTTCTTTTAAGAGCCTGCTTCAGGGCGATGGGGCCGACAGACAAGGATGTTTTTTCCACTGATAGGTGGAGCTATGACGCCATGTTGGATTCCTTCGACGTGTACCACTCAGGCGCAAGCGATACGTGTTGGCGGGCGTGCGCGAGGTGCTAAGATGAGCAAGGTGCTCCATTGCGAAACGATTGTCTCAGATGCATTTTAGTTTTGGCACCTTGTGAAGGCAGACCACATAGAATGGGTGGGTGTTAAAATTGGGAAGCCTCCTATGGTATTTCCTTTAGTTTCTCTTTAATCAACCAGAAAGGGAGTCCCCCCCAAAAAGAGACCCAACTAATTGTGAGCTGCACGAGTATCCGGACAGGCCCGGACGCGCCACGGCCCCTACTCGACTTTGCTCTGCAGCTTCCATCTCAGTTCGGTCCCCAGCCTGTTGATCTCTCATCGGCTCCTTGAACTCGTGGGTTGGCAAAATTGTACTTTTTAATGATCCCAAAAGGGCTTGTAAGTTTGACACTTTTGTGTCTCCCCAGCGCCTTCTGCAAGGCCAGAAGGGAAGACTGCAAAGCCAAAGGTCGAAAAGGCAAGAATTGAGCAATGCAGAGGTAAGCCTTACCTGCTCCGATAACATGAGCAGCATTCAAAGATGCCACGCGTCGGACTCCTTTTGTATTCCGAAGCCATCAAACCTTGCAGGAGAGACCAAAGAAAGCCGAGGCTCAGTGCGTGGGTTGTTGTTTGACAAGAGTGGACCTGAGGTAGCCCTTTGGTGGTTTGGATTGGTGCGACCAAACCAATCCACCCCTTTTGAGGGAAGCTGACTCCAGGCTGGGCCGCGGCAGGGCCCTCGGTGTTTTTAAGTTCGGTCTGAGGGCTCCCGGCCCGTCTGAGGCGTCGCGGCCCAGTGCCCCGTCCCTTCGCCGAGCCAACAGCCACAGCGCCGGGGCCGCAGCCCGCGGAGCTCGCGGAGCCCGCGTTGGGAGAGGCGGATGGCGAACGAGCGATGAGATGGAGGTTGCGTATTTCCTTTCTGATGATTTCAGACGTCAATTTTTGAACCCCGATAAAGTGAGTCTTCTTTGGTGCCTTAAGAGCGAAATTTAGGGAACCCAGCTGCAATGCGAAGGCACAAGGTGCGAGGCTTTCCCTTCGCGCGAAGGAGACTGAGCTGACGGCGGAGCAGCTGGAGCTTGTTTATCCTCCTTGCAGCAAGGTAGACATTGGGCTCTCACTGGGCGCCCTGCCAGGCAATACTCTGATTGGATGAAGTACTACAGAGACTGTGCTGAGCCGGACCCTTGAACGGCAGTGGATTGGGTTTCGACTGGCCTGGTGGTTCCCCTTACAAATCTGGGAACCTGCTGAAGGGACGTCTTCGGGGCGAAACCTGTGTAACATTGTATGCACCTATTGCTTCGCTCTCTGAGATTCTCAAGTGCCCGTTCAGAGCTTGTGCTAGACGTTAGGCAGTTTTGAACGTACCCAAAGCAGTTGCTTTCTTGGCTTGCTGAGGTATTTCGAACAGTGCGAAAGAAACTGTGCAGAACAGGCCCGCGTCACGAGGTTGTGCAAGCCGGCCTAGCTTTGCAAGACCTATAAAGCCAATACTTAAGGGATGCAGGGCATTCATCCATCTTCATGCCTAAGCGAGCGTATAAGGTGATGCCGACCCAAAAGTGGGCTATCTCCTCAGATTTGTGCTTGGGAGTTAGTTGTAAAGCTCCATGCTGGGTGTGCTTGTTGCTGCATGAACGCCAACAGCGCAAAAGGGCGGCGAGAGGAACTCAAGAAGCACGGTCAGATGATTATTTGGATGGCACAGTCTGAGCTACCAACTCCCAAAGACCGTGTATCGCGCTGTATTCGGCAGGCGGGACTGGAGCCTCCCAGGAGCGACAGGAGTGTGCCAGACAGGGTAGGGCGAGAGGGCTGGGCAACACCCAGATGATTTAAGTACAAAGTTTTGCTGCACTGGTGGTATAACATGGGTTGGTTGCCTTGGCGTTGCCTTTCGATGTCTTTTTGTGTCGGTCGCGGGTCAACGCTCGACACGTGCTTTGGCCAGAAGCACTGGCCAGGAAGGTGGAGCAGCCGGCGGAGGCCTCAGAGCTGACTAGGTTGATCAAAGGCAATGAGCTGGTAGAACTTGCCGCTGGGCGGCAACACAAAGGGACATCACTCAGAATAAACCCTCGGCGTGTTCCCAAGTGCACTTGGATATACAAAGCAGGTGCGGACTATTTTCCCAACTAAGAGGCTTGGCCATGCAAGGCACCGGCGCCTGCGCCAGCGCCTGCACCAGCGCCTGCAGCGTTTCCTGCGCCCACGGCACCCATGCCAAGCCCAGCAGCCCCATTTGTGCCCTCAGCACAGAGAGAGGCCCGGGAGAGTGCTGAGTTCAGCATGTGGGTTTTGGACAGAGGTCAGAAAAGAAGTTGCCCGGCATCAGACAATTTGAGGGTGCTGGATTTGTGGCTTCTCATGGGCTAGGGAGGTTGCAGATTGGCTTTTTTCCAGCTTTGCAGGTAAGCACTGTTCTCAGAGCTTGCGAGGCGCCCTTCATGCCGAACCCCTGCGAGGCTCACAATTCTTTGCTGCAAGCCTGGCTCCGAATGTGGCTGGAAGAAGGGTCTTAAATGGCTGCGTCAGGTTTCTGGATCCCCAGGTTTTGGAACCAATACGATAAGTCGTCAATAGGCCAAAAGGCGGGCCCCAGTTTTGAGGCACTTGCCTTGCCTTGATTGCTCGGGGCTTACGAGGTCCGCATGTCAGTCAACGGGCGTTCTGCTTTTTGCCGCTTGGTCCTCCGTTCGACCTCCGTTCGACCTCCAGGCGCGCATGGCCCACGGGCTGGGGCTGGGGACAGCATGGGCGCCGCCGCCGCTACCGGAGGCCTTTGGGCTGACTAGTTGCGGGGCCCAACACGGGTGCTGTTCGCTGCCCGTCCGCAGCGGCCAAAGCGATGCTGCCACTCTCTCTCTCTCTCTCTCTCTCTCTCTCTCTCTCTCTCTCTCTCTCTCTCTCTCTCGCGCTCTCTTGCACCCTCTCTCGCACCCTCTCGCCCTCTCGCTCTTTCGCTCTCTCACTCTCTCGCTCTGCACTCTCCCACCCTTGCCTTCCCCTTCCCCTTCCCCTTCCCCTTCCCCTTCCCCTTCCCCTTCCCCTTCCCCTGTTTCATTTGAATATGTTCGCGCAAACACGCGCCCTTGTGATTGGCAATGTTGCTGAACATTGCAGTTGTGGACTTCACCATTGCAGGCCTTGTTCCTGATGAACTGAGTCAAGCAACACACCAGGAAAAGCTGGACTCATTTGTACTGTTGTGATGATTGGCACAAGGTACGCAATGTGGCTGCCAAGGACAGAGTGGCTGGATGGTTTGCACGGACATTCACGTTTTCAGTCCATGTTTGGCATGTGTTGACCTCACGTGTTCAGTGGCTTGCAGCTCTTGCGAGCCGGGCTTCTGCCCGACCCTTGCGCTTCCTGATCTGGTCTCCGACTTGATTTGGTTTTCCGTTCTGGGTCCTCCGTTTCTTAGTTGCACAGCGCTTCGCTGCTTCGTTGCGTCTGGTGTGAACCAGCCCGCCCCATCCCAAACCAGCTGCAGGGTTTGGCGTCAGGGCATGGCGGCTCCCGCGCCGCTGCTGCAAGCGCTGCAGGCGTTGCAGCTGCTGCAGTGGCGCCCTCGGGTGTGGTTAAGACACTCTTCGGATGGGAAGCCTAACAAGAAGAACATCCACCCCCTCCCCCTGTTAGGTATCTGAGACAACAAAGGGTAAAAAGGCAGCCGCGAGCACAATCCACAGGGAGAGTTTTGACCAGGCTCGGTTGGCCTGCATTTCAGATGTCCAACAGGGTCATGTTGTATTGCATGGTAGTGTGTGTGGGTGTGCGCTTGTTTGTGATCCCTCGTTGTAGTTCTTGTCTTGCCTTGGCACGGGCTGCTGTTTCGATGTAGTATGAGCACTGCAGGCAGCAGCAACAGATGCAGCAGTTACAGCTGCAGTCGGTGCAGCAGCTGATTTCAGGTGCACATCCAACCCACACCAATATTTTGCTCAGCTGCGCCTAGAACGCTTCCACGTTTCATTTGCCCTGACTGCCATGCCTTCAATGCAACACCTGGCAGGCAGTTTGCTTGGCGGTGGCCTGCTGGGTTTGCAGGGCATGCCCGGCATCGGCATGGGCATGCCCGGCATCGGCATGCCCGGCATCGGCATGGGCATGTCGGGTATGGGGTGCGGGTGTGCAGCTTAATCTGACTTGTTCAGCATGCCTCGTTGTACATTCCGATTCGCAGATTCAGAGAGATGCAGCAGGTAGGGTCCAGGGTGGCAAACGCCCATACTCAAAATAGATCTGGGCGGCAAGATCACTCAACTCTATGTCGCATGATTCAGGAGCCCTCAAAACAGCTGGCTTGCTCTCTTTTTGTCAGCGAGGAAGCATTTGATGCGTACAGACCCGTCCAGTTGCTTCTCATCCCGAAGACCCGAAGACCCGGCGCGTGTTTTGCGGTGTGGTGCCAAGGGCGGGCGCAGCTGGCCTGGCGCAAAGCAATGCCCCTTGGTGAAGGGCTGGTGCAAGCTGGGGAAGCAAGAGCAAAGTTGCACCAGGGTAGGCTGACGCCAAAAGCCATGGGCGGATGCACAGATGCACAGATGCGCAGATGCACAGATGCACCACTAGAACGGGTGCAATAAACGTTGCGTTTGATCGATTGAGGCGCTGGGTATGACGAACGAGATGCTGGCGAATCTCCTTATGGCCTGGTATTACTCAGGGTGCTCCCGCGCAGGGTGAGCAGGGTGCGAAGTAGCTGCATTGGCTGTAGGTACTACACGGGCGAATACGCTGCGCGCCAGGGCAAGATGTAGCCCTCAGTGTGCATCCGCCGCCTGAGCCCCATTGAGTCGTTTTGTCGCCTCACTGTCGCATGGGCCGCAAGGTCAGCGACTCTAAGGCCAGCTTGCGGACCGGACGTCGGCGCCGACGCCCCGAAAAAGTCACAATCGGTGCAGCAGCAGTGATCGACCGTTCAAGAGGACATGCTGAGTTAATTGTTTCGTTCTTCGGCACACCAACTCGTTTTGTACACCTTTCGGATATGATGTCTCTACATGTTCTTGACAGTGAACAACCAGATTCGCAACTTTCTCGTGCTGGCTCAGCTTCCAGATTCACGCAGAGGCATGTCGGACCAAAGCGTCCGCCTGCACGGCCCATGCCTCGTCAGCGTTTCGATGATGCGAGGGATTTGATGTTACAAAACGTTCCATGACCGAACTTCTCCTGCCACGACACAGTTGCAACGCACATGCCGCTATGGTCATATTTACAATACTTGCCTGAACAAAGCATGCCAATGGGCCCTGATGAGTGTTTCAAATGCAACCACCCTGATCCTGATGTCGCTCGGAGACGATGCTAGCAGGCAGGCCAAAGTCTGACTTGGCATTGTGCTATTGGACTGAAGCAATGAATGCTCTGAGCTGTGCAGTCTCATTGGCTCCGATGTGGCGATTAGTGATTCGCTGCAAGCAGCTTGGCTGTCACGGAGTTTTCTCCGTAAGCTGCGTTTCGCTCGCTGAGCGTTTCGCAGGGATACTTCTCTTCGTCTCGGCTGAGCGGCCGGCGCATGGGGGTGGTGGTTGTGCCGGGCTTGGAGCCAAAATCGCCAGGCTTGCCTGCAGCCTTGGGGTCACAAAGGGAACTTGGGGCATAGCAAGAACAGAGGCTTGACTGCACGTGGAAAGGTTGACCACTTCTCGGTAGTTTCCAGCCATCCCCTTTGGTTTGTAGGGTTTCGGGTTTAGTGGGGGTTTCCATTTAACTCACTAAAAGTTAAAACTCTTAGCAGGGGATCTGAGGACAAAGAAACCTGACGAACCTCGTGTGGTTTGGTCCAGGGCATCCAAATGCTTCCAATCAGCCTGAGACACCCAATATTGGTCTGCTTTTTTTCCGGCACAAGTTGTTGCGCCCGCCCCTTTGAAGTCGTGAGAGCATTTGATGTTCTTGGCGCCACCGGTGCGGCTAGCAGCTGAAGCAACAGGTTCCCGTGGACGTGCTTCAACATGTTGGCACTTGTTCATTGACCGGCGCTTTTTCAGAATGTGCCTCTTCAATGAGGCATTGCAAGCCTACGGTACTGATGACATCATGATACTCAAAAGTCTGCACAGCAGTGCACGGTCTCAAGTCTGTTTGCCAACACATACCACCCCTTTCAGCAGCATCTGCAGGTGCACCATATTTTTGGATTTGCACCGCCCGACTGCAAGTGCGCAACTCTATTTCGGCGTTCCCAATCGTTTGGTCTCCCTCTTTCTTTTTCTTTTTCTCTTTCTCTCGGCCAGCTTTGTTTCGGGCAGCAAGAACTGAGCTGTTTGCTTCATGTCGCATGTGCTTTGGTGCTACGGGAGGTACACAGTGGACCACTTGGCACTTAGAGGCTTCGAGGCCATCATGCCGGACTTCTTCTCGGGCGAGGCCGGGGAAATCAGACGTGAGGCAGTCACAGGGTGCTACCCTAGCCCGACACTTGTGACAATACTTTATATTTGTGTTTCATCCTCATGGGGCTGTCCCTGCCTTCATTGGTCCTCAAAAGGTCAGTAGCTGGTGTGGCTCTTTCTGTGGCTCCAAACCTACAAGTACAAAAGCTGCCTGAACATGAGCACAGGATGCATGTCTCCGGAAGAGCGCAGGGAATCAGATTCCTGATGTTCAAGCTAACCGGGTGCCACGGCCCAGACGAATTCCTGCCTCACCCGAAGACGTCGGGTCGAAGCGGCGCGAGGCCGAGCCGCCCGGCTGGCCGGAGGCCGCTCCGCTGGAGGGCGAGGCTTTCCAGAAGGCCGACCGGAGTGGGGGAAGGATGCGGGAAGGGCACAATTTGGTGGGAAAGTCTTGAAAGTATTCAATTCGAATGTGAGGCTGACGGCCATCAATCCTTGAATGGGCCTTGAATTGTGGGCTACCTGGCAGAGTTTGACCCGGATTTTGCTTTCTGAGGGTTTGCCTACTGACCGGTTCGGCTCAGAAAAGAAGGAGCGGCGTCGCGTGAAGGTCTTGATCCCGGGATTCGGAATGTGCCAGCTGATGGCTCGGGCTCTCGCTCACGTGTGTGTCTGAGGTGAGAAGTGTTTGCAGCCGCGTGCGAGGTGACTTCATCTAATTGCGATGTGAATCTCGTGGCGGCGGGCGCGCCGGGGACTTTGCCACAGTCCTGTGATGCGGGTCCGCGACCTGAAGGGGACAAGGTCAAGATCAAGTGTCTTTGGATGTGACCTTTTCGAGCAGGGCTATCAGGTGCCACCAGCCCTGGCAGCCCTGGCAGCCTGGGCTTCCAGGCGCCAACCTGTCGTGGTCTGACCGCGCCGGTGAGCCTTTATTTTCATGGAGGACGCCAAGCAGTCCAAGGAGCTTTGGATTACAAAAGACCGGGAGGGTTGGCTTCCAGGTGGGCGGAGAACGTGATGTGGTACGACCTGTAAGTGTTGGCACCGTTCACAGTGGGAGTACTTGAAGCATTGGATCCACCTCCTTCATGCGGCTTTCTCCAACATCACGCTCAAGACTGGCGTTGTCTGCGAAGGTCCCTGTGGCGCTCACTTCTACTTGTGGGGCTGCCACGGTCCCACTTCGTCGTCATGCTCACGGGTAAGATAGTGGAGGGCTGGTAGATCATTTGGGCGAGATTGCCCTGCAATGCCTGTGGCATCCAACCCGGGACACAGCTTCGCTCAGGTGCCCGGGCCAAGGAAAAGAAAGTCCTTTGCAGCCTATGCCGCCTGTATCAGGTCAGATTTGCCTCGGGTCCTGCTGAGTCTAAACCTCCTGCACTGAGAAATGGACACATCCTGTGGTCTAACTGCTTGATGCTTTGCCCAGTGGATGGAGAGCATCACCAGCGACTCCTTCTGGGAGTCGTTCAACCGCAAGGCTGCGGGATGGGCTCTGGTGCGAAGGGCATTGGAAGGGAGAGTTGACGAGAACTCTGTAATGGATTGCATTGTCCTTGGTAGGGGGTGGCATGTGCACGTTCTGACAGTTTTTGGCATGACTTGTCTTTTCCCAATGATGGTCTTTTGTGATGTCTACTGGTATGATCTCGTGCAAAGAATAGCACTGGAAATCAGACAGGGAAGCTACCTCTTTCGTCTGAAACACCCGTATGTGTAATGTCTTTGCTTCCAACTGAGTGTTTATGAGGCATGGCGAGGAGCCGCGTTCTATTCGGACCATATGGGCATTGCACAACCAGAAATTAGCCAAGGGTAGGAGTTCCCACCTGTGCATCTTCTCTGCTGAGTTCCCCGTTTCGACACAAAATCACAGGTGTCAAACATAATCATGCCGGGAGCTCCAGGTGCAGTCGAGCCTTGCCTTCTTGGAAAAGAAGGTCGGCGACAAGGGGTTTGGGAATATTTGGCGGAAGAAGGGCGCTTGCGGGGATGGCTCCAGAGTCACAGACAACAGCAGACACCCAGGTGAGCTTGTCTCAGGATCGGAGCCTCTCAACTGTCGGTTTCATGCTGTGGGTGGGCATCCTATTTGCTGTGTAGAGAGCGCCAAATGCCAAGCAGGAGCCTAGGGACGAACGCACGCATGCTCCCTCACAAGCACGTGCACGCGTGCTCGCACACACACACACACACAAGGAGGCAACGCCGGAGCGAAGCTCGAGTGAGAACGGTCGAAAAATGAGTGGAGCGGTTTCATCAGTATAGAGGAGGGCAGCTCTGAGACAAAAGTAATCGCAAACAATCACAAGCAAGCAGACAAACACAAGCAAACGCACACGCGCAAACAAGCGCAAGTAAACACACATGCAAACCATACACACACACACACAAACAAACACAAACAAACACAAACAAACACAAACAAACACAAACAAACACAAACAAACACACAGCAGCACACACACACACACACAGAAACACAAAGAAGCGCAAAGAAGCACAAAGAAGTACCAAGAAACACGCAGCAGAGCAAAGAAACACAAACAAACACACACACACACACACAAGCGCAAGCAAACACAAGCAAGCACAAACAGACACACCCACATGCAAGCAACCGCAAACAACCACAACCAATCACAAACAACCGCACACAAACACACGCACACACGCACAAAACACGCACAAACACACATGCAAGCGCACAAACACACACACACACAAGCACGCAAGCAAACACTCAAGCAAATACACAAACACACCCGCAAACAAACACACACACACACACAGACAGACACACGAACGCACAAACCAACACACACAAACAAACACACAAACAAGCACAGAAACAAACACAGAAATCAACACACAAACAAACACAAACAAGCAATCGCACAAACAAACACAATACACACACAACACACACAAACACACGGACAGGTAGATAGTGAGACAGAGACAGACAGAGACAGACAGAGACAGACAGAGACAGACAGAGACAGACAGAGACAGACAGAGACAGACAGAGACAGACAGAGACAGACAGAGACAGACAGAGACAGACAGAGACAGACAGAGACTGACAGAGACAGACAGAGACAGACAGAGACAGACAGAGACAGACAGAGACAGACAGAGACAGACAGAGACAGATGGCTGTGGGTCAAAAACATGTACCCAAAATGGAATCCTGGTAGATGGAAACATGGACCACAACCTGCGGTCCCTGGTGGTGTAATTTTGACCCATACCCAGATAGAGACAGATAGAGACTGAGAGACAAAGAGACAGAGAGACACAGAGAGACAGACAAACACGCAGACAAACGGATAGACAAACAAACAAACAGACAGCCAGAGTCCAGACAGACAAGCAAACACAAGTGCTACTGATGCGCCTGGGCAGAGCCAGCGGATTCCCACCTGAGTCACGGGGCTGCTCAGGCAGCGCCTGCAATGCGAGTGGCCCTGGAGAGTCCAGCGTGCCAAGAGGTTTCGGGCATCAACGTGAGCTACCCGCGCTTGTCGA